GGCCCTGACAGCTTGAGCCTCAAGGATGTGCACAGCCAGCAGTCCATGGGGTGTGGTGTGCATACGCCGGAGGCAATGTCATGGTCGACCACCTTGTGGCAAGGGAGGGGGCTTGGCTCTCTCTAATCCTCACTTGAGATGGGGATTCTTTGTGATCCTCATTTCCAGAAGGGCTCAGAAAAGATAAGTAACCTGCCCAAGGTCCTAGGGGTTGTTAATATGTATGTCTCTGTGCCCAGACTGCCTGAACCCAAATCCTGGCATACATGTAAAGTATGGCACTTAGTGACATTAAGTAAGTAGCATGGTATTATTATTACTGCATTTTTCCAGGAAATATTTTTCTGGCCATGGCCTCCCTGGTTGCTTTAGCACATCCTCATATGTGGCTTTGCAATTCCTCTGTAGCCTACTCTTGTTTCTGGCTAGGAGGAACTGACCACGGCCCTCCAAGAATGCCCCTATGATTTGGCCCAGCAGGACTGGGGTGCCTTGCCTCAAGGCACAGAGAGAAACCTGGGGTGGCCACACTCTATAGTTAGCGCATGGCAAATCATCACCTGCTGTCAAGATCCCCGGAAGCTTTTTCACATGGCAGTTGCTAAATCCCACTCCTGCCCACAGAGCAACATTAAAATGCTGGGGTACAAGCAACAACTGCAGTTGCCAGTGAGCAGAGCTGTTACCTTCTGTGATGTAGCCAAAGTCCCGTTTCCAGCCAGTTTCTGTTTCTCCACCAGGAGCCCATTCTACTGGGCCTCGGCCAATGGAACTGAGAGCTCCCATTCCCCAGACACCCTGTGTGTGCTCCAGCCTATTTCCTTTACCTGGCACACCTTCTCCTCTACCTGGCCTTTAAGCCAGTGAATGTTTCTCAGAATGGGGCCCTGAAGCCCCCCTGCCTCAGGATTGCCCTGAGGAGTATGTACCTCAGGAATGCGCAGCGTGGCAGCCAGCCTTGTGATCTCAGATCTACATAATGCCCCTTTGCCTGGCCTGGTTGTCAGTTTGTAGGTTCAAAACTCCCAGGAGGCTAGGCTGCTGTCAGTCCCACCCCTCCCCCTTGGAGCACCTAATACGGTGCTGGCATGTAGTAAGTGCTGAATTGCTTTCTGTTGGATATACTTGGGCAAGGTGACTTGTCCTGTTGCCCTGTGCTCACAGCTTCTGGAATAATAGCATTGTTGAGGAGCTATAATGACTGATATGTGCAGGGGTCTCCCACCTGCCTGAGAGCCCCTGGAGCACAGGAGTGGGTCCTATCCTCTCTGTCCCCAGGGCCTAGCAGTTAGTAGGGGGTCAGTGAGCATTTGACTATTAGAGTGGAGTGGAGTTCATGTGAGGCAAAGAACTGGTAAAGCTGTTCTCGCCAAGGAGGCTGAGAATCTCATTTTCCCTGCTAAGCCTTGAAGATCAACATGCCAGATGGGCACTTGTAGCCCTGTGGGAGAGTTTAGTGTGGAGAGACAGAGCAGTGGAGCAGCCAACAGAAGCTCAGAATCTTGCTTTTCCGCTGCCTAACTGTGTGATCTTAGTTACTTGCCCTCTCTGATCTTTAGTGTCCTCATCTGTGAGTAGGTGATCAAGTGCTCGGCAGAGGGCCTTTCCTGCTAATGCAGTGTATGACTGCTTTTCCCATTACTATTAGTGAGGGTGATCATGTCTCCTCGTTCACAAGCTTTGCTTATCTCATTATAGAAAAAACACCAGAAGCTCAAGCATCAGAAAGAGGCTGACGAGGAGGAGCTGGAGATGCCCCCTCAGTACCAAGGTGAGGCTTCCCTTCTTCTCTCTTGGAACTCTATTCCCTGTCACCAGCATTAGGCAGGGTTTGTTGCAGGCAGAGCCACAAGGTTGCATTACCTGGTTGCACTCAGTTGGCACCAGCAAAGATTGGCTGATAAGTCACCTAAGACTGGGTCTAGGGGCCAAGGGAGAGCCTGGGGATTAGGAGATCCGTGCTTAGAACCCCTAGCCTTTCTGGGGAGTCCCTGAGCCTCATCTCGTCCCCACACACCCAGGCCTTCTGTGAGCCTTGCAGCCACCCCTTCTCCTGGGAGCTGTCTGCCTCCTTTGTCTGGCCCTGAGTCAGGCCATGTTTGGCCTGTGTCGAAGGTGGCAGTTAGGAGGGTTAGTATTGGACCTGCTTAGGAGGGTTCCCCTATACAGTTGTCCCTGGGCCCCGGGCCGTTACTCTCTCCACAATAGCCATTAGAGATACCCAAAGCCAGTGGAGGCATCTATCACCTCACCTCTGCCTCCTTCCCCCCAGGGCAGCCCTCCAGGGCCCCTGTCCCCAAAGCCTTGTAGCAGAGCCCTTGTTATGCATCTGGAGGTCCAAGGGCTCCTGTGGGAAGGTCCTGATTCTAGAATCAGGGTCCCATGTGTCCTCTGAGCCCCATGGCATCCTAAACCAGCTAGAGAGCCTCATGGCTCCTCCTTTTGTGGCCCCACAGGCCAGGGCCCAGCTCACCTATTCTCTCTGAGATGGTGTGGTACAGAAGCAGTAGTACCAGACGATGCAGCCAGGAGGCCTGGGTTCAAGACTGTTTGCCCTTCTGCTCTTAGCTCTGTGACCTTGGCTCAGTTATGCTGTTTCTCTGAGCTTCTAGTTTCTCACCTATAAAGGGTTTGTCTGGGTCGCTTCAGTCCTCCTGAGTTGGCATTGTAGGGTTCCATCCACAACTCTGTTGAAGTCCAGGCTGGAAATGACACTGACTTTGGAAGCATCCTGATCTCTCTAAGCTGCAGTTTTCACATCTGTATGGTGTAGTAAGAGCTGCCATTCTGTCTCACAGTGTTAGTGTGAAGTGAGCTCCAGAAAGTTAAGAGACTTGCTTGAAGTTAGAGCTGGGAGTTGAAATCTGGTCTGTCTGACTTCAAAGCCTGGGTTCTTTCTCCTAGAACAAATGGAGCAGATTTCGCTTTGACGAGTATGGGGTATTTTATGTTAGTGGAGAATATATATGTTTTCAGAGATCACTAGTAGGTCTCTGTGGATTTGGGTCAGTCTGAGGAACCCAGTGGTCTGTCAGATCAATGTATAGTCCCCTCTCAAAAAACGTCTTTGTCCTTGGTCATGAAGTCATGACCCATCTTCCCAGTAGCTCTCCAAAGAGAAGGTGCCCACTGCCTTTTCCTAGGAGGAGCTGCCCTGGCTTTGTCTGACTCATGGCCTCTGTGCTCCCTCTCTAGCTGGAGGATCTGGCATCCATCGCCCTGTGGCCAAGAAGACTACACCTGGGGCTGAATATAAGGCCAAGGTAAGAGTTGCAGGTGGGGGCAAGGGGTCTCCTGGCAGAGCATCTGAGAAAGGGCAGGGTAGCTGTGCCCATCACTGTCCTGGAGAGGCACCTTTATGGAGCCAGATTGAGGGGCACACTGAGGTCTTGTTAGCATCTGAAGTTTAGGCCTTTGTTGGATGACCTTCCAGAGCCATGGAAATTCTTTGGCGCCACCTAAGGCAGAGAATAAGGGGAAGGGAGGATGTGAGGCCCGTCAAATCAGGGGGTGGAAGGGGAACCCCGTATTCCTAGCTGACTCTGTTTCTCTGGATGAGCAGAAAGCAAAGGGTGACGTGAAGAAGAAAGGTCGGCTGGACCCCTATGCCTACATACCCCTCAACAGAACAAAACTCAGCCGCAGGTATAGTGCTGTGCAGGGGTGGGGTCATGGGGCAAGGAGCTGTGCTCTGGAGGGGTTTATTCTCATTACTCTCAGCTCAGTTGCTCAGGTCACTTCTGGGTTGGTTTGTTTTTACTTTTTAGAATGCACCTTTATGTATTTGGTACCTACAGGTATTGTTAACTTGAACTGCCCTTTTAAACATGATAGGTAGCACATGGTCTGCCCAGATCACGTGCTGCCCACTGCTGGGCAATACTCCTCCCCCATTCCTAAAAAAAAATGGTGTGGAGGGAGCCATCTTTTGAAATGGGAAGGGGGATCGCCTGTTCTCAGTGAGGTGTGTCCCTTCTATTCCTTGTACCTGCAGGAAGAAGGTGAAGCTGCAGGGACAGTTCAAAGGCCTGGTGAAAGCTGCTCAGCGAGGATCCCAGGTGGGACACAAGCTCCGCAGAAAGGATCGGCGGCGTTCCTGAACCCCAGAGCTGCTCTGCGGCCCAGCCTGAGGCTTCTTTTTAGCCCCCAGGCTGCCTTGACACCAGCTCCAGATGCTTCAGTCTCTGGCAGATCCTGGACTCAATGATTTGTTGGAACTAGGGCTTGGCTCCCACAGGCACTCAGGACTTTAGAAGCTCCAAAAAAGAATCACCTTTGGAAACTCCAAACAGGAATCACCTTTTAGAGATTTTCCTGGGGCCTGAAGATGGGAGTGTGGTCTCAGTGCCTCTGAGTAGGCCAGTGAGGCAGCTGTGCTTTATGCCCAGCGTACCCATGTGCAACAATAGATGGTTTTCCATTTCCTCCAGCTGCTGGTAGCCACATGCATTCTCGGCCTAGCTGTCGTCTGGGTGTGTGAGATTTGCTGTGACCAGATGTAGAATAAACATGCACCACCATGCATTGTTCCTAGAAACATGTGTTTCATCACCTGCCCCCTTCAGGGACAAGAACAGTGTCTGGTCGTTGGCAACAGTGGCTTGACCCCTTCATCTCCAATCCTGGCACCCACTCTGGGGCATAGCATGATAGCCCTAAGTCAGGCTTTAGATCTTGCTCAGGGACAGAAGTGATGAGGTCTCTCTGACTTCTCTTTACAATCCCAGTCAAAGTGATGTTTGGAGAATCAGGAGGGGCAGTGAATGTTCCAGGGCTGATCTGTGGAGCTATGGTTGAACACCAGGGACTCAGACTGAAAAAGGGAGCTGCAGCACAGGCAGGTGTCTCCCAGCTGCTTTTTTCATTGATTGAACAGTGTTTACCGAGTCCCTCCATCTGCCAAGCACAGCCTGATCACCCACCTGCTCAACTCTCACTGTCTCTTTTTCCCAGACAAGTAGATCAAATCGTATGGTACAAAGAGCAATGTGATTCCCACTGTCCAGCTTTGTTGGTCTGGAGCAGAGAAGGGAGTGGTGTAGACCTCCCATTGCTCTTCATATCACTTGTCCCATCAGCCCAGAGTGATGCCAGTAGGCATCAAGAAGCAAAGAACCCACAGGTATTCCACACCCCCAAATATGAGGAATTGTGCTTTGTCTCCTGGCATTTGATCGATAGCTTTTCTCTTCTCAGAATCTCCCCATTTGAAATGTGACTCTCCTCCACACACACTTCTTAGTAGTTTCCATTCCAGTTTAATGCCCATGGTTCTGATAATGACCCCAGGAGTCCTTGTACACCATTCCAGTCATTCTCTAAGGGAACTTAAGTCTTGACTTGATCCATTGTCCCCAAATTAGGGCATTTCCTCCTGATTTGGGGCTAGGAAGCTGAGAGGAACCACACTTAGCCCAGAGGTGGCGCTGTTCGCATGCCTTTCTCACAGAAAGTCTGGATTTGGGAGAGCAAGCTAAAAAGGTAGTCAGAAGAGGTGGCTATTAGAGATTTGCAAAGGTGTTCCAACTGACCCTCATCATTACACTTCTGGGCACAAGGTGGGTCAAATTAAACCTGCAGCCCTTTCCTATTTCTCAGGAAGTTTAACCACAGGCAGTAGGAAGTTTCATGTAAATGAGGTATGGATATGTGCCAATTGCCCAGTGTTGACATCTTTTAAAAAAATGTTTGAAGCCAATTTGCTTATTATAGTGTATTTTCCAAGGAGCTTTGTTTTCTTTCAAAGGTGGGAGGGGCAGGTAACCTAGAAAGGTTGGTGTTAGTGATGTGAACCCCTTATTCTTTTGGAAGTAGACTTTAAATGCAAATTATCTTTATGCAGAGGCAAGGGTTAATCTGCCCCAGAAACTTCAGGTGTTTGAAACATGTTATGAAAGTTCTGCTTTTGTTTCAACCATGGGTGTAAAGGAGAATCAGGAGTGTTCATCAATGCAAGGTTCATTCAGTTTCAGGGCAACTGGAATGGTTGAGTGCCTCCACCAAGATCCAGATTTACTCCTTTAATTTCATTGTGCTTTTGGTAGTGTCCGAATCTGAGACTTCTTCTGGCTTTCTTTTCTGGAGTCCATCCTCTACTCATTCTCAGAAATGGAAGACAGAACATAACCTTCCTGACTGCACCAGAACAGCAACCCTTGTGTTGGCCAAGGATTTGGTCACACTGGGGATTTGCAAAGGCAGTTTGCTCTTGACACTTCAAGACACAGGTGGGTCAGGTTAAACAAACCCTACCCCAGGCACCAGGCAACAGGCCTTCAGGTAACTCCTCACAGTTCATTCCTGGCAGTGGCTGTCTTATTAGGTCTACTATCTTATTTGAAAGCCTGCCTCAATCCACATGCTTAATCATGATTTTTCTGTATTGTTTGCAACATGCAAGGAAATTAGTTAAAACATTCACGTAGTCTCTAATTTCATTATTCTCAGTTGCATGTGTTTCTTTAAAGGGTAACTTAGAATATTAGAATGTAGTCTATGTTTCACTATAAAAGTAATAAAGATTTACAGAACATTTGGAGAAAACAAAAGTAAAAGCAAGGGCTAGAATCGTACCATATCTCATTGTTAACCCTGTATATTTCATCTCTTTTTTTTTCCTACATGCAGGACTTTTTTTGATACAAAAATAGAATTTTAAAATACAAGTTTATATTCTAAATTTATACTTGACTACCACAAAGTGTTTACTCTAATAATGTACACACTTCAAAAACATTGTTTTCACTGGCCTGGCTTAAACATCTGTCCTGTGGACCTGGCTCAATTTATTTACAAAGGATCTTTGAGTCCATAAGTATGTTGCTTCTTGGTGCATGCAGAAGTTTAAAGCCATCACTAGATGTTGGATCATGTGCAAAGCAATATTTAAAAAATGACATGACTTTTTTCTATTTGTGATATGCATTCTTATGAAAATATAGATGACTATATTCCAGAAAATAATTTTGATTTGGGGTAATATAAGCTAGCTCTCCAATTCCTGAAATCACACTTAAGGTTGGTACTACCATTAGAAACATTTACCAAGCTGTTGGAGGTTGGCCATGTCATTCAGGGCCAGGGCTGCAATAGAGGCCTCTCATTCCAAGTCCCACTGATTTGTCGTAGAAGAGTCTAGAACAGGATTTTAAGGCTGTGGTTACTTAGTAGATATTAAGAATGTAGGTGGAAAGTATGGTGGCCTGCCACTCAGGCTGCATACTCATTCCTGATTTGAGGTCTGGATATCAGCTTTGCAAGTCTGAAATAAGAGTTGATTAGGTTCAGAGAGGAAAAAATGACTCCCGAGAAGCCTCGTCAAAATGGAAATTTGTTAATTTGTAATGAGAAATTATATATATATAAAACAAAGAGCCCAAGACTTGGTGTCATGGTGACTTCTCTGTACATACCCTCCCCTGCATTGGAAGTCAAAATCAGAAGCTTTAATGAGCATGAAAAGGGGCAAAGAGAATCATGCCAGCTGTATATTAGTAATGTCATTGAGATAGAACAGTTCTCTGGGTAGATGGGACATACTTGTCCATTGGGTCCCTCTCTATTCTGGTTAATGCTGCAGAATGAGGCAGATCCTTCCTCCGATGTCTTCTAGATTCTTTGGAGCCACTTACCTGCTTTTCAGAAGCTTTTCTGAGCCTTAATGTGGCTCCTGCTTCTTTCACATGCAGGCATGCCTGAATTGAATTTCCAAGACCTGTTCTTTCAGCTTTCACCAAGGAGATGTCCTGTTCCCTCTGGGGCCTTGTACAGATAAATAACGTATCCTATCCATCATGTGTGAACTTAAAGGGTTTAACTTCTAGAGGGCAGCTTGATTTCCAGTTTCCAGGGATGTCACCCTGTGGACCCATAGGAACCAATTACAGAGCTGATATGATTTTGGATCAGAATTTCAGAGAGGATCTGAGGCACTGATGACAGGCAGATGGATTTGTGAATGGTGCCAGCAATAGCTTGTACAGACCTTATGGCTCCTCTGCAGGTTTTGCCAACTCGAAAAGTTGCTTTGAACCAGAATGATTTCTACAACATACATGTTGGACTTGAGGCCACTGAGCCTGAAGTACATACCGAGCTGATAACCTGGAACCAGCCCTCAGTTGTAAATAACGCTCATAAAAATGACAAGGTGCAGTATTACCCAAGCAGATTTTACATGGCGGTGTACATTGATTGGATCATTGTGTGATAATACTTATCTAAAAATGCCTGCCCTATTCATTCCAGCAGTTAGTTCAACCCCTTGCAAGTAGGTGGAGTACACCTCCAAAACAAATAATAATAAGCCAGCAAAGCCGACATCCAGTATTTATTCTAAGAAAACCCTTTCCTGCCCACACAAGGACTATCAAGGGGCTCACGTAGACCCCTTCACACAAGGGCATAGTCACACATGATCCACACCTGCCAGATCCAAATCTCTTGTGCAGGTATAGAAGCGATGACAACTCAGGCTGTCCAGAGCCCTCCAGTTTACCGAACACATTCATATGCACCATCTCTTTTGATTCCCACGAGAAACCAAAGGCAAAGTTAAGCAGGTGGCATAAGGTAGCACCCAGGCCTCTAGAGTTTAAGCCCACATGGTTGCACCCTATGTAACTTAGCCCTGGAGAATACGGTGTTGCAAAGAGGCTTGGCTGTGAATTTCAAAATGCCTCATGCAGTTAGGATACCATAGAGTCTGTTCACCTTCCTGTTCATCACCTTGCAAGCGCTTCACCCCCAAAGCCCTTCACTAGGACTAAAACTAATTACATAACAGGTTTCTTTTCACTTAGTGAGAGGAGGGTGGAGTTGTTCCAGGACTGACTTTCTTCAAATCTTTGAGTGCCTGGGCAGGGCAAGGCGGGGTGGGGCAGCTTGCTGGATATTCCTTTGACTTCCTTCCTCTTCCCTTTCAAGGAGGGGGATGGAGTTGGCCTGCAAGTCTTTCTTTCTGTCATTCTTCCACATATTATCTCTCCCTCTCTTCTCCCTCCCTACACCGCCCCCCCACCCAAACATACACTTGCACTGTGCATTTATTCTGAATGAAACTTCCAAAAAAAAACATTTTGTGAGGCATGGGAGATTAAGCAGTAAGTAAATCAAACAGAATCTTTGCCTTTACAAAGTTTATGAGGAGGGGACAGATAAAATAAAACCATTGAAATAGTGCTGCAAAGCCTAAATGCAGGTAACCATGAAGGGACCTGATTTGGATGAGGGTGCCGTAGTGGGAGGGCCTCTTGGAGTGAGAGATGTTTGCCTAAGACCTGAAGGGTGAGCAGGCTTTAAAGTAGGTTGTTTGCCTAAACAACCAAGGCTCCAAAACTTTCCAATCCCCAGGCCTAAGGGCAGCGATCTGATTGGAAGGTAGGCTCGCTTGGCCAGGGGAACTTGTCTTGACACTCTTGCATACCAGGCTTACTGTTTTCACTTAAATAATATGTGTGTGTTGGATAGGGTGGGGGTCGGTAGGGGGTGGTTGGGATCAGTGGGTAGTGCTGTAAAAGCTCCTCTGAGGCCATGCCCCAGACTAAGGAGTAGCATGTGCAGAGAGGCCCTGGAGCCAAAAAGAGTTTGGCCTCTCCAAAGAACTGACAGGAAGCTCAGTACGTGGCATGTAAAAATACAAATAAATATTAAATATTATTACCTACATTCTTATATAATGTTGCAGGGATTGTTTATTGGGGGGGGGAGACAGCAGTTTTATTTATTTAAATATATAGTCCATCCACATCTACACATTTATATAATAAAAGCCAAATATACAGCAAGACTGATGGGAAGGAAGATATTGAAACCACATGGTAGAAGAGAGAAAAGGATGAACCCTGAAATCAAGGCTAGTAGGTTTCTTGAGTGTGCATTCAGTGGGCCTGGGCTGAGGGTAGGGCCACGGTGTCCTTGGGGCTGGGAAACTGACCTTCTCTGCTGAGAGCAGTTCCTGAGTTAGATGTTTCTATTATGCTCATTTTACAGAGCTGGAAACAGAGTAAAAGGCACAGAGAAGTCTCCCATCCTCTTGTCAGCTTTTTCAGGACTGGCCATCATGATTTTGTGAGAGGAATACGAGGAAGGGCTAGAAATGATGGGCCTGGATATCACAGCCGAGCTGCTCACCTGGCATCTTAAGAGCCAAAAGAGCCTTTAAGAATTGAGTCCAAACCCCTTGCTTTGCAAATGGGAACACCGAGGCCCAGTGCAGGGAAGGAATGCTGTTCTAAGCATCCGAAGACTGGAGAAACCAGGACTAGATCTCAGATCGCCCAACTCCTAACCCAGGGCTAAAGCTGGTCAGGACTACACAGGAAGGCTGTGGGCCATGGATAGCTCACAAGGCCTAGGGACGGGCCTGACAGGTAAGAATGAGTTGCTCCTCTTGGTTGAACCACCACACTTGGTACCCAATCCTATTATAACCATGGATAAGGTAGTAGGTACGATAATTGCTTATTTACACATTTTTCTGTATTAGACTATGTATTAGTTTCCTATTGCTGCTGAAACAAATAACCACAAACTTAGTGGCTTCAAACTATCTATTTATTATCTCACAGTTCTGGTGGTCAGAGGCTTGAAGTGGGTCTTACTGGGTTAAAATCTGGGTGTCAGCAGGGCTATGCCCTTTCCTGGAAGCCTGAGGGGTGAATCTTTCTTTTCTTTTTCCAGCTTCTAGGGGTTGCCCACATTCCTTGGCTCATGCCTTTTCCTTCTTCAAAGCCAGCAATCACTTCAGTCCAGCCTCTACTTCTACACTCTTCTCAGACTCTGACCTGCCTGCCTTCCTCTTTTAAGAACCTTTGTGATTACATTGGGCCCACCTGGATTCACTGTAATAATACAATAATACAATGTAATAACACAGGATCATCTCCCATCTCAAGATCTTTAACTTGTCTATGGCCATGCCACCCTGTACAAGCCCGATCCTGTCTGATCTCTGAAGCTAAGCAGGGTCGGGCCTGGTTAGCACTTGGATGGGAGGCTACCTAGGAAGACCAGGTGCTGTAGGCATGAAAAAAATAAATAAATAAATAAGGGATTGTAAGCTGGCAATCGGTGAGGTCAACCAAGGGTTGCCTTGTCTAAAAAAAATTTTTTTTAAAAAGATCTTTAACTTAATCACATGTGCAAAGTTTCTTTTGCCATGTAAAGTAACATATTTACAGGCTCCACAGATTAGCCCACAGACATCTTTGGAGAGTGATTATTTTGCCCACCAGAGACTGCTAAGCTTTGTGAGGACTGTCTCCATTGTTTCTTGCTATAGCCTTAGAAGCGGGCACAGTCCCTGGCATAGTGCAGGTATTCTTCAGTGTGCTGGGTGATGGAATGAGTGGATTTATAGCCTCCTAAGCTCAGCCCCTGCCAGGACTTCTCTCTCCATGAAGCCTCGTCTGAACACACAGCCAGCAGCCCATTTGTTGTTGTTCCTACTTCCCCAAATGGTGTGATTTATAGAGAATTCGTAGGGCATATGTCCTTCATATTCCAAGGAAAATTTTTAAAGATCAACTTTATTGACATATAACTTATGTATAATTAATTCACCCATTATAAATGTTCATTGAGTTTTGACGAATAAATACACCTATGTAACCACCACCATAATCAATGTATGGTGCATATGTTTACAGTCTGTTTTGTTTCAGTCTATAGCAGGGGTCCCCAACCCCCAGGCCATGGATTGGACGGGTAGGTCCATGGCCTGTCAGGAAGCCGGCCACACAGCAGGAGGTGAGTGGCAGGCCAGTAAACGAGAAAATTCATCCGTATTTGCAGCTGCTCCCCAGCGCTAGCATCACTGCTTCAGCTCCACCTCAGATCTTCAGCATTAGATTCTCATAGGAGCACCGGTCACTGGTGCCAAAAAGGTTGGGGACCTCTGGTCTATAGTT